ACACACAACAACACAAAATTTATAGGTCACAGTGAAGGTAGTCCTGCGAGGGAAGTTTATAGCATTACAGGTATACCTCAAGAAACAATAAACTCAAATAAATGATCTGCTGCAACTAAAAGAATTAGAAATAGAACAACAAGAAAAGCCTAGTGAATAAGGAAATAATAAAGATCAGAGAGGATATAAAAGACATACAGACTAAAAAATAAATACAAAAGATCAAGGAAACCAAGAGCTGGTTCCTGGAAAAGATAAGCAAGATTGATGAACCATTAGCCAGACTCATCAAGAAAGAGAGGACCCAAATAAGTAAAATGAGAAATGAAAGAGGTGAAGTAACAACTGACACCCCAAAAATACAAGACAATTGTGAGAAAATACTGTGAATATCTATATGCCAACAAACTGTATAACCTGGGCAAAATGGACAAATACCTAGAAACACAATCTTCTAAAACTCAATCAGGAGGAATTAGACAACCTGAATGGGCTGTTAGGACCTAAATGAAATTGATGCAATAATAAAAAAAAACTTCCAGAAAACAAAAGGCCTAGACCAGATAGATGTCCGGGGGAATTTTACCAAACATTCAATTAAGAACAACACCTATCCTCCCTAAACTATTACAAAAAATTGAAGAGGAAGGAACACTTCCAAGCTTATTTTACGAGGTCAGCATTATCCAATTCCAAGGCCAGATAAAGACACCAGAAAGAAAGAAAATTACAGGCCAATATCCCTGATGAACATAGATGCGAAAATCCTCAACAAAATATTAGCAAATTGGATTCAGCAATACAATGAAACAATTATATACCATGACAATGTGGGATTTGTTCTGGGAATGCAAGGCTGGTACAATATCAGCAAATCAATAAATGTAATTCATCACAAGCAAAATGAAAGATAAAAATCACATGATCATACCAATAGATGCAGAAAAGGCATTCAACAAAGTTCAGTGCCCATTTTTGATAAAAACTCAGCAGAGTGGGAATAGGGGGGTCATACCTCAACATAATAAAGGCCACATATGACAAACCTACAGCTAACATCATACTCAGTGGGCAAAACCTAAAACCATTTTTCATACAAACAGGAACAAGACAGGATGTTTGCTCTCACCACTCTTATTTAGCCTTGTACTGGAAGTCAGAGAGGAAGAAAAATAAATAAAAGGCATCCAAATTGGAAAGGAGGAAGTAAAACTGTCATTATTGGCAGATTATATGGTACTAGAGGCCCAGTGCATGAATTTGTGCATGGGTAGGGTCCGCTGGTAGGGGGAAGGGGCTGCAGGAGGTTGGCCGGTGGACCCCTCCCGCAGTGGGGATTGGGGTGGCCAATGGGGGGGCGGGGATGGCCAGGGGGAGGGGCCACAGGCGGTTGGGGGGCCCAATCAGGCCCGTTGGCTGCCGCAGTGTGTGTCATAGTGACCATTCGTTCCCGTCGTTCCGCCATTCCAGTCGCTTAGCTTTTATATATATAGTTTGTGCATAGAACATCCCAAAGACTCCGCCAAACAACTAATACATTTAATAAATGAATTAGGCAAAGTGGCAGGATACAAAATTAACATCCAGAAATCAGTGTCATTCTTATACTCCAATAATGAACTTTAAGAAAGAGAAACTAAAAGAACAATCTCATTTACCATTTCAGGAAAAGAAAAAAAAAGATACTTAGGAATAAACTTAACCAAGGAGGTAAAAGATCTTTACTCAGAAAACTGTGGGAAATTGAAGATAGAAATAGAGGAAGATGCCCTAGCTTGTTTGGCTCAGTGGATAGAATGTCAGCCTGCAGACTGAAGGGTCCTGGGTTCAATTCCGGTCAAGGGCACATACCTTGGTTGCAGGCTCCAGGCCCTGGTCGGGGGCATGCAGGAGGCAACCAATCAGTGTGTCTTTCTCACATTGGTGTTTCTGTCTTTCCCTCTCTCTTCCACTCTCTCTAAAAATCAATGGAAAAAATATCCTTGGGTGAGGATTTACATACATACATACATGAATAAATAGATAGATAGGTAGAAAGAATTAGAGGAATATACTAACAGGTGGGAGTATATATTGTGTTCATGGCTTGGAAGAATTAACATCATTAAAATGTCCAAAACAATCTATAGTGTAATCCCTCTTAAAATACCATTGGCATATTTCACAGGTTTAAAGCAAATATTCTAAAAATGTATGGAACCAAAAAAGACTCCAAGTAGCATTAGCAATTTTGAGAAAGAAGAACAAAGTTGGAGGGATCACAATACTGGATATCAAACTATACTACAAAGGCATTTTAATCAAAGCAGCCTGGTACTGGCACAAGAACAGGCAGGTAGATCAATGTAACAGAACAGAGACCCCAGAAATTAATTCTTGCTTTTTTTTTTTTTAATATATTTTATTGACTTTTTTACAGAGTGGAAAGAAGAGGGATAGAGAATTAGAAACATCAAAGAAAGAGAAACCTCAATCAGCTGCCTTCTGCACCTCCCCTACTGGGGATGTGCCCACAACCAAGGTATATGCCCTTGACCGGAATCGAACCTGGGACCCTTCAGTCCACAGGCCGATGCTCTATCCACTGAGCCAAACCAGTTAGGGCTAATTCTTGCTTTTATCCTGAATTAATATTTGACAAAGGTGGTAAGAGCATATACTGGAGTAAAGATGGCCTCATCAATAAATGGTGCTGGGAAAATTGGACAGGTACATTGAAAACAATGAAACTAGACCACCAACTAACAACATACACAAAAATAAACTCAGAATGAATAAAAGATTAAATGTAAGCTCTGATAAAGCATCTACAAGAAAACAGGCAGTAAATTGTCAGACATTGCACGTAGCAGAATTTTTACTGATAAATCTCCTAGGCAAGAGAAACAAAGGAAAAAAATGAACAAATGGGACTGTATGAAATTAAAGCTGCGTGTCAAAAGAAACCAGCCTCAAAATGCAAAGAGAACCCACTACGTGGGAAGACATATTTGCCAATGACACATCTCATAGGGGCTAATTTCCAAGATGTATAAAGACTCACACAACTCAGCAAAAGGAAGACAAACTATACAGTTAAAAAAATAGGCACAGGACATGAATAGACATTTTTCCAAAGAGGACATACAGACCTGGTTGGTGTTGCTCAGTGGTTGAGTGTCGACCCATGAGCCAGGAGATCACGGTTCGATTCCTGGTCAGGCTTCAAGTTAGATCCTCAGTAGGAGCATGCAAGAGGCAGCTGACAGATGATTCTCTCTCCTCATTGATGTTTCTGTCTCTCTCCCTCTCCCTTCCTCACTGAAGTCAATAAAAACATATACCAAAACATAGGCAGAGAGGGCCTTCCAAACTGGGAAACAATTTGAACAAAGTGAGGAAGAGGGAATTCCAGCATAAAGAATGGGGGAGAATGAGTTACGGACGGATGGTTTCTGAATTGGTGAGTATTTAAGGATGGCTGAGCTGGTAATGGTGAGCAAAAGGATGTGCTGAGATAAAAAACTAGAAGCTAGGAGAACCGCTAGACAACCGTTTTCATAAACCAGGCCCAGGGCTGATAGGCACAATGAAAAGGCTGCTGTAGATATGAGATTATTTTATGGGAAATTAACAGGACACGGTGATTGACTAGAAATTGATGATGAAGGGAGGGTTAACTTGACTAATGATTCCGCTTTCTTTTTTTAAAAATACTTTTAATTGATTTTTTTTTTTTTTACAAAGAGGAAGGGAGAGGGATAGAGAGTTAGAAACATTAATCAGCTGCCTCCTGCACACTCCCTACTGGGGATGTGCCCACAACCAAGGTCCATGCCCTTGACCGAAATCGAACCTGGAACCCTTTAGTCCACAGGCCCATGCTCTATCCAGGGAGCCAAACCGGTCAGGGCAGATTTTGCTTTCTTAACTGAGTGTTTAGCTTCCCAGATCGCACTGTTCGCGCCCCCTCGCCGGGACGCTTTCTGAAGCTGGAGGGAAGGCCAGGAGCAATGGTTAGGACTGTGTTTACCTCATTCACCAGCAGCACCAAGAAAGGGGCAGGTGCGGTGGCTGTGTCCTGTGGTTGCTTTGGTGCCTGCAGCTGATGCCCTGCAGGCGCCACGCGCAGTTGGGCGAGGCTTCCTGCTGGACAGTCAGCCATCCATTGCCTGCTGTCATTGAGGCCGGGAGATGGCAAAGGCTTCACGTGTGTGGTGTCTTCTAATTTGGCACCTCGTTGTTTAGATCATAAATTGACAGAAAATACTAGTTCCTTTAATTACTGAAGTGAAACAACTTATCCTATCTAATAAGGAGGGGATATGCTAATTGACCCTCATGCCGTTGCAAAGATGGCGGCACCCACAGCCACAAGATGGCAGCGCCCAGTCCCCTCAGCCCCCCAGCCACCCAGGGCCACCCGAGGCTCAGGTAACCAGGGCCGGCCGAGGCTTGCGCTGCCGGCAGTGGCAGCAGCAGAGGTGTGATGGGGCGTTGCCTTCCCCTGATCACCAGGTCGCCTCCTGCCCTGAGGGCTCCTGGACTGTGAGAGGGGGCAGGCTGGGCCGAGGAACCCCCTCCAGTGCATGAATTTTCATGCACCGGGCCTCTAGTTTCTTCAGAAGGATGCGTATGCCTTTTAGTGATTTTGTGGAGCGTTTTCCTTAGGAAACTCTTTTTCTTTCTGCCATTACAGCCCACAGAGAATTTGTTGTTGTTGATCTTGGTGGTTCTGCCCCTAAAGCATTGTTTTCCAGATGATTTCTTGAGAGGTTAATGTCTGTTTCTTTCGTTTTATATGGCTTTCTGTTTTTAATATTGAAAATATTTATCTGAAGATGAAGACTGGCCGGCCGTGCGCACTGGCCTGCTGCTGAGCCCACAGGGCCCCTGGCATGGGGACCGGCCTGTTGGTGGCCGAGCAGAGCCAGGTGTGCCATGGCCGCTGGTCAGTGTCCACAGCGTGGGCGGGGAGGGTGCCACACGCCCACCAGCCTGACCGAGGCCTCCCTGTGCAGGTGGAGCGGCCCCCCTCTCCGTTCTCCGCGGCTCCACAGGCGCCCCTGCCCCCTGTGCCGCCCCGACTGGACCTGCTGCAGCAGCGCTTGCCCGGCCCTGTGGGCGCTGGCCTGGGAGCGGCTCCTAAGGTAACGCCACCCGCCCACGCCTCTGCTGCCCCCTCTGCTGCCTGCCTGGGAGCCGGGGCGCCACTGACTTGCTTCCATCTGCCCCACAGGCCGCTGGCGCCCTGCATAAGGACAAGCCCTTGCCAGCGCCCCCCACCCTGAGAGACCTGCCGCCACCGCCCCCTCCCGACCGGCCTTACTCCGGGGGGGCGGAGGCCCGGCCGCAGAGGCGCCCCTTGCCCTGTACTCCCGGCGACTCTCCGTCCAGGGACAAACTGCCCCCCGTCCCCTCCAGCCGCCTTGGGGAGTCCTGGCTGCCTCGGCCAGTCCCCAGAGTGCCCGTCGTCACCCCGAGCCCTGGGGAGCCCTGGGCAGGACGGGAGTTGACCAACCGGCACTCCCTGCCCTTCTCATTGCCCTCCCAAATGGAGCCCAGAGCAGAGGGGCCTTGGCCTGGGAGCGCCTTCAGTCCGGATGCCTCCGTGGTGAGTCCTGGTGTTACAATGACTCAGCCTGTTCAGAAGTGTCTGTGGCCTGGCCTGGGCTCAGTGGTTAGAGCATCAGCCCCTGCCCCGCATGGTCGAGGGTACCATTTCTGGTCAAGGGCACATGCTTGGGTTGCAGGTTCGATCCCCGGCCCTAGTCGGGGCACATGTGGGAGGCAACCAGTAGATACCTCTCTCCCCGCAACCCCCGCCGTGCGCCCCCTCCCCCCTGTGTGCCCCCCCCCCCTTCTTCCCTTCTAAAAATGGAAAATATATCCTTTGGTGAGGATTAATAAAAGAAAAAAGGAGAAATACTTGTGGGTGACCTTTAAGGGGTCAGTGTTTGTGACAGGTTTTATATAGGATTCAAAGATAATATAGTCCCTACCCCGAAGAAATGCGTATTTTTATAGAGCAGGTAAGGCATATTTGTAAATATCGCAAGTGTGTGTGTGAATGTGCGCACCGTGAGAAGTGTAAATGAAAGCACAAGCTTTAGAGGAGAAACTATTTCCAGATAGAGCAGACGGTGCGGGCTCCCTGGAAAGAGCGACTTCTGAATTTGAAGGGCTCTTTCCACAGCGTGCCCAGCTCTAAGGAGAGCAGAGCTACATGCAGGAAGGCTTCGGTGTATTACAGATGAGCGGTCGGCTGAGTAGAGCAGAAATTGTGTGTATCAAAGTATGAAAGGTGGCTAGAAAGGACATTAGTACTAGATTAGAGGGCCTCCCACAAGAATTTAAATTTATTTGGTAGGAAATGGGGAGCATTTCAAAGTTTTAACTTAGTGGCGTGACATGACCAAAATGCCAGTTTAAAGAGATGCCCGCCCTGGCCGGTGTGGCTCAGTTGGTGGAGCGTTGTCCCACTCACGGTTGGATACCTGGTCGGGGCACATATGGGAGGCAGCTGATCAATGTCTCTCTCTCTCACAATCTCCCCCTCTCTCCCTCTACCTTTCCCTTCCCTTCTCTCTAAAATAAATAAAAACATTTTTTAATTATAAAGAGTGATTCCAATAATTGTATGTAGAATGGATTGATAAGAGAATAGATTGAAAAAAGACAGGTTAGTGGTCCATTCTATAAGCATGAGCTATAAGGGGTCTGGAACTGAGGGTGGAAGAGGTATGTTCATTCTTTTGTTGGTTCAGTTATGCACTCAACATAAATTCTTGCCCTTTTAAAGTCTTTATTCTAGTAGGGGAAAGACAGAATAAAAAAGATAAGTTAGAACATACATGGTGTTGGACATGGATGAGTGCTGTAGAGAAAAAGTAGGGCAGAAGGGGCATTGGGACAGCTAAGCCAAGACCTGGAGCATCAGGAGGGGAGCCATGCTAATTCTGGGGAAAGACAATTCCGGGATGAAGGGAAAGCAGCTGCGCTTAGGAGAGTGTTTGAGGAATGACAGGGTGGACCATAGTTGGTGCTAAGTGAGCAGGAAGGAGGATAGCTGTCTGTGAGCAGGTGGGGCAGCCAGATTAGGCAGAGTCTTGAGAGGGTGAGAAACAAAGACCCAGTAAGTTTGAAAGCAGTCTGTGGGTGGGGACAGGACAGGAAACCACACACACGCACGCACCCACCCTTGAGGTTTTGAACCTGGCTAGAGACATGTTGAATTTGAGATGAGCTATTGAAGCAAGAATTGACCAGCAGGTAGTTAGAAATCTAAGGGAAAAAATGGAAGTGGAAGGGAGAGGTTGAGGCATGCTGTGGCCAGGAATGACTGCAAGGGGAGGGATGACAGGGATGGCATCTCAGTGAGGGATTAGGAGTGACTTTGTGGTGGTGTCAATATAGAAAAATAGGTTTCTAAAGTTAGAAATGGTATTTGTGTAGACAGTTTTCACAAGTATTTCTAGAATTAAGAAAAAATACATAAGTCCTTGGCTTGTTTTTTATCTCTGTCTCCCTCGTCTCCCTACATTTGAGCTTTCAGAGCCTGGAACAGCTGTGCTTTTGTTAGATGTAATAACCTGAGGGTGGCGTGGAGTGAGGTCTGTGTCTGTATTACTGTTCTTGTTATTGTCAGTAGGTTAATAAGAGGAGATGCTTAGCTGTATTAAGAAGGCCCTTTTTCAACACTTTTCTTTCCAGAATATGAATAGCAGCCCATTAGCAGGTCCAGAGTGTGAGCACCCCAAAATCAAACCTTCCGCATCGGCCAATGCCATTTATTCCCTGGCTGCCAGGTGAGTCTAAAAGCTGCATTTCACACTGTGGAGTTGTCCTGCTAAAGAATTTACCTACAGAAAAGTAAACTCAGAGGAAAGTAAAAATGGGTCTGCATTTGCACATATAAAAATCGCCCTGTTTATGTTTGAACTGTTTCCTCCCATTCTTTTCTGTGTAAATGTACAGAGATCGATCCTGCTGGGTGAGGTTCATCAATTTTACTACATTTTCTCAAAGAAGCATTTTGGTTTTTATTGATTTTTAAAAAGTTAATTTCTTCACACTTGATCTTAGCCAAAAGGCCGAGAAGCGATTAAAAAAAAAGTTAATTTCTTAATTCTTATTTTTAATTTTAATTCTTGGGTACCTGCTTTTTTGTGGTAAAATACACATGACATTAAATTTTTCATCTGACCTATTTATTAGTATAGTTTAGTTTTATTAATTAAATACTTCACATTGTACAACGATCACCACCATCTCCATAATTCTTTTCAGTTTGTTTAACTCTATACCTGTTAACAATAAATCCTCACTTCCCCTCTCCCAGCCCCTGACAGCCACCATTATACTTTTTGTGTTTATGATTTTGATTATTCTAAATACCTCATGTAAGTAGAATCATACAGTATCTGGCTTTTTGTGACTGGCTTATTTCACTCAGCAGAATGTCCTCAAGGTTCGCCATATTGTAGCCTGTTGAAGAACACTCCCTTTGAAAGGCTGAATGCTATGCTATTGCGTGTCTGCGTGACATTTTGCTTATCCATTCATTTGTCAATGGACAGTTGGGCTCTTCTTGTTTTAGCTATTGCACATGGCGCTACTGTGAATATGGGTGAGCAATTATCTCTTTAAGAGCCTACTTTTAGTTATTTTGGGTGTATACCCAGAAGTTGAATTGCTGGATCATATGGTAATTCTATTTTTAATTTTTTGAGGCACCTTCATACTGTTTTTCACAGCAGCTGTACTATTTTACATCCCCAACCATGGTGCACAAAGGTTCCAATTTCTCCAAAATTTTACCAACACTTGTTATTTTCATTTCTATTTTTTTTGATTGATTTCAGACAGTAAGGGAGAGGGAGAGAGAGAGAGAAATATCAATGATGAGAGGGAATCACTGATCGGCTGCCTCCTGCATGTCCCCCACTGGGGTTCGAGCCTGCAACCCAGGCATGTGCCCTTAACCGGAATCGAACCTGGGACCCTTCAGTCCGCAGGCCCATGCTCTATCCACTGAGTCAAACCAGCTAGGGCTATTTTTATTTTTTTATAGCAGCCATCCTAATGGGTGCGAGGTGGTATTGCATGGTAATTTTGTTTTGCATTTCCCTGATGATTAATGATATTAAGCATCTTTTCATGTGCTTATTGGTCATTCATATATCTTCTTTAGAGAAGTTTCTATTGAAGGCCATTGCCCATTTTTAAACAAAGCTTTATTGTTAAGGGTATTACAGATAACCCCTTTTTTTTCCCCTGTTTCCCCCCTCCACCTGGTTCCTGCCCCACCCCAGGACTTTACCCTATTGTCTGTGTCCATAGGTAATACATATCTATAATAATAAAAATGTAATATGCTAATTAGACTGGACAGCCAAACAAACTTCCAGACATCCTCTGGACGAAGCTGGGGTATGAGAGCTGAGGCAAGCCGCCGCGGCTGTGAGGGCCAAGCCCCTTGCATGGGGCCTCTGGTATACATATAAAACCTTTGGTTAATCTCTTCCCACCTCCCCTTCTCTGTGAGATTCGTCAGTCTGCTCCATGTTTTCATGCCTCTGATTCTATTTTATTCAGTTTATTTTGTACATTAGATTCCTTGTTCATTTATTTTGATTTATAGATTTCGTTGTTGATAAATATGTATTTATTGCCATTTTATTGTTCATATTTTTTATCTTTTTCTTCTTCTCGCTCTTCTTAAAGCATACCCTTCAACATTTCATTTAATACTGGTTTGGTGGTGATGAACTCCTTTAGCTTTATCTTGTCTCTGACGCTCTTTATCTGACCTTCAATTCTAAATGATAGCTTTGCTTGGTAGAATAAGCTTGGTTATAGGTCCTTGCTTTTCATTACTTTGAATGTTTCTTATCACTCCCTTCTGACCTGCAAAGTTTCTGTTGAGAAATCAGCTGACAGTCATATGGGTGCTCCTTTGTAGGTAACTAACTGCTTTTCTCTTGCTGCTTTTAAGATTCTCTCTTTGTCTTTAACCCTTGGCTTTTTAATTATAATGTGTCTTGGTGTGGGCCTCTTTGGATTCCTGTGGGACTCTCTGTGCTTCCTGGACTTGTAGGTCTATTTCTCTCACCAGTAGAGTACTTTTTTTGTCATTATTTCTTCAGATTAGTTTTCAATATTTTGCTCTCTTCTCCTTCTGGCAAACCCATAAAGTGAATGTTGTTATGCTTGAAGTTGTCCCAGAGGCTCTTTACACTATCTTCATATTTTTGTATTATTTTTCTTTTTTCTCTTCTGCTTGGATGTTTTTTGCTTCCTCATATTCCAAATAATTGATTTGTTTCTTGGAATCCTCTCCTATTGAATCCCTGTAAATTATTCTTTATTTCAGAAAGTATATTCAGACTCATCATTTTTCATGTCTTTGACATTCTCACCAAGATCCTTGAAAGCCTCACTAAATGCCTTGAAGTTCTCTGAGTCAACTGAAGCTCTCATTAAGGTCCTTGAGTAACCTTATAACCATGGTTTTGAACTCTGTATCCAGTAATTTGCTTGCTTCCATTTCTTTCATTTGTGACATATTTTTTTGTCTCTGCATTTTGGCTGCTTCCTTGTGTTTGTTTCTATGTATTAGGTAGACCTGCTATGTCTCCTGGAGTTGGTAGAGTGGACTTGTATGGGTGTCCTGTAGGGCCCAGTGGCTCAGCCTCTGCAGTCACCTGAGCTGGGCACTCTAGGTGCACCCTTTTGTGGGCTGTGTGCACAGTCTTATTGTAGTTGAGACTTGATTGCTGTTGGTGTCACTGGGAGGAATTGACCTCCAGGCCAATTGGCTGTGAGGATTGGCTGGGACTACAGTGGGAGAGCTGTAGTATAGGAGACACCCCTATGGATTAGGAATTGCTTCAGTGGGGCTTTTGTGCTCACTGAGTCTGCCCCTTGAGTGTGTTGCTGGTGGATGTGTAGAGTTGTAATCTGGTGTGGTCTGAAGCTGTCCACTGGGTGCACTGGCTCTGGGGCCTCCCGAGGTGCAAAGTCAGCCACTGCCTGAGGCCACTGGGCACTGGGCAGGAGCTACAGAGAAATCCACAGATGGCTGCTACTTGTATTGGGCTTGTGAAGTGCCTATGTAAAGTCAAGCTATGAAGCAAGGCAGGCTGGTGCTAGTGCTGGGTCTTGGCCTTTTATTGATAGGTTTGAGGCATGCTGACTCCAACTGCTGCTTATTTGAGAGATTTTTAAGAAAGTCTGAAGCCTGAGTCAGGATAGTAAATTGATATGGAAAAGCTGCTGCGAACAACTTGGGTGGGTTGGGGTCTCAGGGAATTACCAGGGCAGAGTGAACAGTGTGAGCCCGGCTGATGGAAACTCAGATATGGCTTCTAGTCAGCTCTGCAACAGGGGTGGTCCCAGCACAGGAACAATGACCCCTGCAAGGACTCCTTGTCTGGGAGAAATCCGCCGCTGAGTTCCTGCCACGGTGCCAGACAATCCAGTGCCTCCTTATATATCCCTGGGTCCTCCAAAGCCACCCAGCACTGGAGCTCAGAGGGATCGTGTCTGAGTAAGTTTGTGTACTGGCTCTTTAAGTGGAACTCCCTGGTCTCCAGCAGCTTCCTTGTCACTCAGCCACAATCTCCACTGGTTTTTACAGCACAAAGTTATGGGGACTTCTCTTCCCAGCTCTGGTACCCTGGGCTAGGGGTCTGGTGTCAGGCTGGGACCCATTGCTCCTTGTGGGAGGCCTCTGCAGCCGAGATAACCCTCCTGATCAATAAAAAGGGCACACAGAGAGGATTAAAAATGGCAGCAGAGTAAGTGGATACTGCACGAACATGCTCCCAGGAACAAACTGGAATTACAACTAAAATACAGAAAAACTTTCTGAATAATCAGTGGAAGACTCGCAGGAGACAACCCTGATACCTGAGGATGGAAAGTGGAGATTGCATAGAGACTGGTAGGAAGGGCGGAGGCACAAAAGGGCTGGCCAGGCGCCACAGACAGCAGCTGAAGTTCCAGAGAGATACCTCAACTGTGGGGGGTTGCAACTGAGAACTCTGGGATCTAATTACCAAGCTGGGCTCCCCAGCAGAGAGCACCAAATCTGAGGAGGGTACCCACATAACATCTGACTGTGAAAAGCAAGAGTTGCTGTCTGCCATGGAGAGAGGGCTGAAAATTCAGGTACCCTCTTAAAGGGCCAACGCACAAAATTCCCTATGAAGCCACCCACCTTGTGCTCCGGCAGAAGGAGGGCAATGTGGATTGGAGCTGTGTGAACAGGACTGGGGACTCAGGGGGATAGCGCTCAGAAGGCAGACACCCCCAGTTTCCTGGGCTGAGTCATTCCTTCACACAGCAGAGGACATCTTTGCCAAACAAATATTTACCTTGCCTAGGGGAAGACAGTTGACTCAGCCTATTGGAAAACACCTTGCCCTCAGGTCACTCTTAAGAGACCAAAAATAACAATTAGCCTCCAGGCAGAAGCCACTGCCCCACCCTGTTGAAAAAAACTCTCGCCACACCTGAAGACGATTGCCTGGGGGCACTTCAAATTGGAATCCTATCAGTCTATAGGCAGGCAGTCTCTGGAGGCTTTGAGTCTTTGCCTGATCTAATTAGAAACAGCATTTGACACTATCCTGCACTGGAGCTTGAGAGGCGTAGCAGATCTACCTAATACATAGTCACAAACCCAGAAAGACAGCCACAATGAGGAGATAAAGAAACAACCCCCCAATTGAAAGACCTAGAGAATTCTCCAAAAGAGATAAATGAAACAGAGCTAAGAAATTTATCTGAAACAGAGTTCAGA